TGCTTTCACAGCTGGAAGCAAAGCAGCCTCATGCAGCCGAAAAGGCGGTAGAGCAGCGTGCAGCTGATTTCTCTTTTTTCCCTTTTCTCGCCGCGCTCTGATGTGCCGCCATTCACGCAGCCAGCAGGGCTGGCAGTTTTTGCTCTTGCTATCAGTGCATCCTCTCCCAAATGGGAAAAGCCTCATGGTTTTGGCTGCCTGCTCAAGAGAAAAATACAGGAGTACTTCAGCTGGGCTGGGGAAGGATCAATTTGCACTGGGAAAACAGCATACGGGAAGCTTGCCCAGAGCTATTAGACCCGCTTGCATGCAGCACATGCGCTCAGAAACCTCTCAGATAGCGAGAAAGAAGGTAGCTGTTAAGCCAGGCAGGTTAAATTCACATTTTACTTACCCAATGGAGTGCGATGGATTAAGGGAAGCTCCAGCAACCGAAGCGCAGCGCTAATTGGTGCCTTTTGCATTAGCCGTTTGCTCTGCCCCAAGCAAATATTTAACCTACATCTGTAAGACCTCCGGGGAGACAGCCGCAAAATCCTAGCAAAAATGTAACCCCCCTCCCCTCCTCCCTAGGAGCGACGTGCTAACAGCCGTCGCTCGTCCAGAAACGGCAGACGGGCGCATACCTGAAGCCGCTCATGCACTTCGATGGTCCTTGGAGAAAACTCCCACCCGCAGAACTGGACGTAATGAGAAAGTATCCCCAGAGAGCAATTAATTATAACCAAGCTCATTATTATAATTTCGTTCCTTCCTGAGAGCCCCAAACCAGGGGATTTCTCGGCGTTGCGGAGGTACCGTTTGCCAAGCCCACAGAAAATGATTAGCAAAGTAATAACAACCCCCCGCATTCCTTGCTATTTCATGCAAAGATATCTAAGCTCTTTAGCAAGTTTTAATTAAGTCCTAGCATGCTCGGGAGAAATTTGTACTCATTTGCAAGTTCAGAAACTGAATTAATTAAGCCCGGAGGCTCCGATCCGGCGATAGGGCTGTTTTGAGCGCGGCGCAGCGCGGGACCTGGGGAGGGGTATTTCAAAGGTTGCTGCAAGCTGCCTTTGCCCAGGTCGCGCCTGGGGCTTTTGCAAACCTCCTCTATAGCGACTCTCTCTCAAAGCCTAGGTTTTTTTTG